CTGCTACAGACAGTGCTGCAATGAACATTCTTGTACATCATCACACACATTTGCAAGTGTGTCTACAGTATAAGAAAAACCAAACCTGTTGCCATCAAGTCAGTGCCAACTCATGGCGACCCCGTGTGTTACAGACTAGAACTGCTCCATAGGGTTTTCATGGCTGTAATCTTTACAGAAGCAGATCACCAGGCCTTTTTTCTGTGGCACCATGGGGTGGTTTTGAATTGCCAACCTTTAGATTAATAATCGAGTGCTAACTATGCCACCCAGAGACCTTATCTGCAGTATAAAATCCCCAAAAGTGGAGTTACTGGACCAAAGGTTTGTACTTATTAAAACATTAATAAATGTTGCCACATTGCTCTCCGAGGGCTATACGTATGTACACTCCCACATCACTGGACAGACCAGCGTACCTTTTACCCACACACCCCGACCCCAGTCCTGAGTGTTGTCAGACTTGTTGGTCTTTTCCAATATGAGCAGTGAAAAATAATTTCTAATTGTAGTCTTAATTGGCATTTATTTAACTATGAATGACATGCAGCATCTTTTCAAACTGCCCCTTTAAAAGACAACAGAGACAGAAAATTGAGTATTTCATCCAGCTTTCCTGTCAGTTAGCACCGTGATTGTCAAGGTGTGGCTCCTGGACCAGCAGCATCAGCCTCACCTGGGAACATGTTCAAAATGTATGTTCTTGGTTCCCATCCCAGACCCACTGAATCAGAAACTCTGAGGGTTGGCCCAGAAATCTGTGTTTTAACAAGCCCTCTGTTTAGGCCCAACTTCCAGATTTTCAGGTGGGACCCAAATTTTGCATTTCCCAAACCCATTCCCAGATGATGTTATACTGCTGGTCCAGGGATCACACTTTGAGAACCACTGGGCTAGAGCATCATTCTTGCAGTGACATTTAACCTCGATGCTGCTTTTCAGATTCACTCTTTAAAAGAAACATTACCAGAAGGCAATTGTATGTACTTAGGGCTTTAAAGCTTGTTTTTATTAGGTGATTGGTGAACCAGGAGGAAGTTCCTGGTTGTGTTGTGTGGGGCTCTGTTGCTAGCAGCGCATCCGCCCTCTGCAGAAACCCTGTTTTGAGGAAATGTTTGGAAAGCTACTACAAAGCTAACAGCCCTTCTTTAGATGCTTCAAAAGAGGCTGAGCAGCGCCCCCGCCTGTGAAAGTTGGTCACTGCAAGTAGAAGGGAAGGAAGTCTGAGAAGGAGTGGTGCAGAGACAGGAGGCTTCCTCAAAAAAAAATGCTTCATTATATTTGTCTGAGCTGTGAGATCTTTGTTCCTTAGATCTTTGGTTCTCAACCCTGGTGGCACATTGGAATCACCTGAGGATCTTGTAAAAGAATAGCCATGCTTGGGTCCCACCCCCAGATGTTCTGATTTAATTAGTCTGGTGAGGTTTGTTGTTGTTTTACAAGATCCCCAGGTAATTCTAAAGTGCAATCATGTTGAAGAACACTGCTTTAGAAAAAAATCTTCTAGAAATCTAGATTGGCCCTTTTCAAGGGTTAAACTGCAATTCCTTGTTTAAATGGTATTTTTAAAAGCAATAAGAATTACACTCAATAAAAGGAGCCCTGGTGGTGCAACAGTTAAGTGCTCAGCTGCTAACCGAAAGTTTAGTAGTTCTACCCCACCCAGCAGCTCTGTGGGAGAAAGACCTAGCAATCTGCTTCCATAAAGATTACAGCCAACAAAACCCTGTGGGGCAGTTCTGGGGTTGCTAGGAGTCGGAATCGACTTGATGGCACTCGACAACAACAGCAGTAATAAGAGCTAACACTGAATGTTTATTATATTACAGACCCTAGTCTAAGCCCTTTACATATATCACCTTATGTAGTTCTCTAAACCAGCCCCTAAGAGTTGGAATCTACTCAGTGGCAATGGGGTTGTTTTGGTTTTGGGTAAACTACCCTTCAAGGCAGTTACCATTATTACCTGTCTTTTACAGTTGAGGAAACAGGCCCAGAAGGGCTTGGTAACTTGCCCAGGGCCACAGTATTTTCCATATTCCCTGATGATAAAACTCATTTTGGGGTATATGTTAAAAGTACACATGTACAAACCCCATTTTCTTCCTACAGACTCCGAGCTCCAACAGGGAGCTGGGAAATGCAGATTTTCCTCCTGAGCTCCAGAGCTTGCTTGTCATCAGAAGGAAGTCGGGAGTACTGGGGGCCGGTAAGTGGTAGGCCCCAGCAGTCCGACTGCAGAGCACTTTTATTTAGGCATGATACCAGTCTGCCTCTTTAAGGGCGTGTTTTTAAGGCCTTTTATGCTTGTTGCCTGGCCTCATGCACAGCCACCACCCATCCTTCAGTGGAGGCTTGCATGTTGCTATAATGCTAACAGGTTTCAGCAGAGCTTCCAGACTAAAACAGACAGACAGGAAGAAAGCCCTATAGATCTGCTTCCAGAAATCAGCCAATGAAGACCCTGTGGATCACAGTGGTCCATTCTGCAATCCTTCATGGGACCAGGTGGCATTTTGTTCCTTCGGGCATGGGGTCACCATAAGACAGCAGCTAACAACAATAACATGGCCTAGAAAACCCAAAAAAAACCCATTGCCATCTAATCAATACTGACTAATAGCAACTGTGTAGGACAGAGGAGAGCTGCCCCACAGGGTTTCCAAGGAGCTGCTGGTGGATTCCAACTACTGACCTTTTGGTTAGCAGCCAAACACTTTGGTAAACAAATGTCTGTAACAGAATTTCTAAATTTTTGATTCGTTGCATTACCAAGCAACTGGGATGCCAGCCAAGTGCATTTGAAGAACCCCCTCTTTTTCATCACAGCTCCCCATTTTAAACCCAGTATCCCTATGGGTAAAATATTTCTTCCGTCGCTACTTTTCTTAAAAGAGGAACTTGGATGAATCCGACCTCACTGTAGACAAAAGTCTGGCATTTCAAATCCAAAGTTAAGGGTTCAGGGTTCCCTCTGGACCAGCTTTTTGCTCCCTCAGCAGCCTTGTCATCAGAAACCATTCACTCCATCAACTGTTTATGGAAGGCCTGCAAACCACGCCAGCCTCCGCTAGGTGCAGGAGGGAGAAAAATCGGAGACTTGATGCTCTTCTGTCTCATTGGAGAGAGACACGTGCTTCCTTCTGATTGGCGCCTTGGGCTTTCTGGGTTGGGAGAGAGGAAGCAGTTCTTGGCCCCAGCTTTTCCCTTAGTCTTAAGCATCTTTTGCCACCTTTCAAGCCTCAGGAGCTCCCAGCACTTGCAGATTGTCAAGGTATAGGGGATATCGTTAAGGAATAGGCATGAGGGGGCCTCCAGGGCCCTTGGGAATATTGTACATCTTGATCTGGACAATGGTTACGTAGTTGTAAACATGTAAAAATTCATCATCTTGTGCACTTTCCTGTGTGTGTGTTATACCTTATTAAAAATAAAAAAGAATAGGGCAGCTTTATGTGTAGTGATACGTGATGGTTTCCAAGACATATTGTAAAGGAAAAAAACTAGGTCCTAAATAGAGTCCCTGAGTAGTGAAAACAATTAAGCACCCAACTACTAGCCAAAAGGTTGATGGTTCAGACCCACCCAGAGGTGCCTCAGAAGACAGGCCTGACCATCTGCTTCTGAAAGGTCACACCCTAGAAAACCCTAAGGAGCACAGTTCTACTCTGACATATATTGAGTTGCCATGAGTCAGAATCAACTTGACGGCAACTAACAAGAACGTGCTACCACTGGTATTTTAAAAATGAGTATAAGAAACTTACCTTTTACCACGTACCGTGTGTGTGTGAATACCTACTCAAAAAAAATTTTTTTAATGCCGATTCCTGGGCCTGATCCCCATCTTACTGAATCAGTTTCTCTGGAGGCAGAGCCCAGGATTGCTCATTTCTAATACCCTCTCCAGGCAATTCTATGCACACTGCAGTCTGAGAGCCCCTGCATGGGGTTGTGCTGGACTGCCTTAGGCTGCATCCCACAACAAGAGGAAGACAGATACAAGGGGAGCTTGTTCCACGCTCAAAAGGTAATGCCCCCCACAGCTTGCTGGGTTAGGGAAGGAGCCGTTCAGCTTTATTAGGGATGTCGCGACTTCTGAGCTGTTGCCGAGGTCAGCAACTCGTGTTTCATTGTAAATGGATAATCTCATCATGTTGCTCTGTTTTGTACATGTGTCTTGCCAAAGTCCCTAACTTTCCCTGTTAGGTTTTATTTTAAGTTGGTTTCCTGCAGAGCCTGGGGTTGGGTCTTAGAAGGATGAACTAAATTCCTTCACCTGTGTATGGCTGTTGACCTTCTCTTAGCAAAACTGCTTCAACAGCTTCCCAAGAGGACTCCAGCTGAGCTCATCCCTCCTGGGCAAGCATGGCCCAAGCATCCTGTCTGTTCAGAGGGCCCTTTGTGTGTTCCTGAATGGGTTTGCCTCCCTTGGCACCCTTTCCCTATGTCACCAAGAGCATTTTACCCTAATTCTACAGAGCATCCTGGCCGTCCCTCTGGACCAAAGTGTGCCTCTTGTTCCCTCCCCCACACTGACGAGAAGATCCTGTAAATAACATCCACTGGGTACTTTTCTTAACACCATGAATCATGGCACACATGGGTATAGCATCCCAATTTGTAGCCTAAGAAGCTAATCCCAAAGGGTTTTGCTTCTGCTTTTATTTATGTCTACATGTGAACAGGCATACTCACCCTGAATGTCTGTTTTGAGTTCCACGAGCATCTAGACAAGTTTCTCATGACCCACCTTTAAAGGAGCATTGTACATCTGTGCGATACATGTACCTCCACTCATGGGCACTACTGATGCCATGTGTCCTTTAATACCCAGGGGCATTTGCAGACTTCTCTCCAGGTAGCCAAAGAGCAATGTCTGTCTGTCTGTCTGTCTCTCTTTTTGTATATTGGCACTCATTCAATAACCCTCCAACTTGCACTTTCTCTAATATTTGTTGCACCTGCAATAAGTGATGCCTTTACGCGTCTGCCTGCAGGCTGCACGTGGGAATTTGGAGCCATGGTAAACTACATCAAGAAGACATACCCCCTGACCCAGCTGGTAGTCGTGGGCTTTAGCCTGGGTGGTAACATCGTGTGCAAATACTTGGGGGAGACTCAAGCAAACCAAGAAAGGGTCCTGTGCTGCGTCAGCGTGTGCCAGGGATACAGCGCGCTGAGGTGAGTAATCTCCACTGCACATTCCCACTTCTTCCTTCCATCAAGTCCTGCAGTTGGCATTTGTTTATTGAGATGCCCCTGTGCACCAAACACTGATCCGTGAAGACCAGGGCAAACACTGTGGCAGACTGAGCAGAATTTTCTGAGTCTTGGGCTCACCTTGTTTTGCTTCCACATCTTATGTTGGAGTTGTCCTATCAGATCCTTTAAACCTGGGCTATGCCACTGCATTTTGGGATCATGTCTGTAATTGGATAGGTAAAATCACCCCTTAATAGCTACTGTTTTCCTATGGAGTCTGTGAGATGATGTATAATCTGTTCATGCTTCAGGAGTTTTGCAGAACCATGGATCTTTGAGAGAACACAGGAGACTGGCCAGCCACGATCTGAGATCCAGGCCTTGTAACCCCAGACCCTGCCTACCTAAGGAATAGTTAAGTCTCAGATGCCTCTGGAAAGGATCTGTAGCGATCACTTAATCTTTGCCCTCGCCTGCAACTATTCATCTCTCCTCTGCAGCCCAGACATCCTCACAAAAGAGCTGACCTGCTGGGTCCAGGTTCATCTCGCCCCTTAGTCTCCTACCAGCAGATATCTGCAGGGCGAGTCCTTGCTATGAACACTGACTTTGTGTTCAGAGAGCACTGAATTGGATCACTAGGAGGATTTGGGACAAGTTTTGTCTTAACTTCTTTTTCAATGCACAAAATCTTAACTGACAACAGCTTCATTTTAGTTTGCTGCAGTAGCACCATCTGCTGTTGGCAAGAGCACATAATCAGCACATTCAGCTGGGGAACTAAGGTGTGGAAGCAAAGAAGGTTCAAGAAGCTGGAGTTCTAGAACCTGTGAGGTGCTATACATAAATAGTCTAAACAGCTTCTCATTGGGGTCTGAAAGAGCTTCATATATATTATTATTTATCCTCACGTCAGCCTCATGCAATAAGGAGTCAAATAGGCAGCTTTATCCTCTGGGGCACAGATAGCCAATACCAGGACAGCAGAACTAGTGACAGGTTAGGGAGACACCATCCCTGTGTGTGCTGGTGCTGCCCAGGCCTCTGGTCCCCTCAACATTTTAATGAGATCTACTCACTAAGGGATAGTTCCTTATGATAAACCAGTGTGACCTTTTTTTTTTTCCTGCTGAGGCGTGAGGGTGATGAGCCTTTTCAGCACTGGGATAATGGCAGCCATGCTTCCTTTACGCCAAGGTGGAGCACAGAGAGCTCATCTGCTTCTGCAGGGGCCACACGGGAGCTCCTGCTTCTGGTAAATTCCTCCTAGTTGAGTCTGGAGAACCGCTTGCTCAGTGATGCCCACCCTCCGGCTTCTCATCCCAGTAGTGCCCCTCCCATGTAGCCAGAGCCATTCGAGGCTCAGAGGAGCCAGCTGCCTGCTTGCTGTAGTTAGCAAAGTCCGTTGTTAGCCGCCATCAAGCTGCCATCGAGTCAGCCCCCAGCGCGCTCTTGGCAACCCTGTGCACAGTGGGACAAAACACTGCCTGGTCCTGCACCATCCCCATGATCAGTTGTGGATCGGACCTTTGTGATCCAGAGGGTTTTCACTGGCTGCTTTTCTGAAGTAGATTGCCAGGCCTTTCTTCCGAGTCCGTCTTAGTCTGGAAGCTCCACTGAAACCTGTTCAATATCATAGCACCATGCAAGCTTCCACTGATGGGCAGGGGGTAGCTATGCATGAGGTGCATTGGCCAAGAATCAAACCCAGGTCTCCTGCATGGAACACAGGAATTCTACCACTGAACCACCGATCCCTACAGCGGAGTCTAGCTGCTGCTAAACGAGCTCACGTTTTATGATGTGCTGAAACACTGAAGGCGGCCACGGCTGTTCAAGGAGGAGCAGTGTTCAGTGCCTAGCCAGCAGGCTGGGTCAAGATGACCCCCCCTGCCTAGCACTGTCCATGTGTCTGTCTGTGTCCCTTCCTCTCCCTTAGGCCCCAGAATCTGCCCAGACTTGGCCTGGAGTGTTCGGGAGTGCCCCCTCTTGTCCTTGATGTGCAGTCATCAGCCCCACCCTAGGGGCTGCCCTGACTACAGTATTACTGTCTAGCAGTGCCCAGTTGGAAATAATCCAGGTGTCCAGCATAGGAGATGGCTAAGTAAATTATAATACACCAACTCAGTGGAAAACAAGGAGCTTTTATTTTAAAAAATCAAGAAAATATACAACATGACAGAATGTGTGTATTCAAAGTGGGGAAAAGGTCACCTATGTAAAAATATAACTGTATATGGGCAAACCTAGAAGGGAACCCCTTAGAGTAAGAACAGTTCTTACATTCGTGTGTCAGCACTCTGGGAACTAGTCAGTGTACTTTAATTTTAATGTTTCTTTAGCCTACTGCTTTCAAGTTTTCTTTTACTACCTTCTAGGACATTGTGTAGAACCACAACCCATAAATTCATCCCCAATCTTAATTCATCGTGCCCCTGCCTTCGCTTCCCTTTTTGAATATTAGGATCATGCTTGCCAATCCCCAGTCTTATAAAACCTCTCTCTCATTGTCATCCTCCGTATTTTCTCAAACACCACCGGAAGGCTGTTTATTTGTTCTCGTGGTCTCTCAGAACTCTTGAGATGTTGTTTATTTGAGCCAGGAGGTTTGAATTCATTTGGATGTTAGATACGTTCTTTCCCTCAGTTCATTCACTTCAGACTTCGGTTCCTTTTCATGAAAGTTTGGCCCACTCTTTTTGCAAACTACGAATTGGAAAGTTGAGCTTGCTCTGAGCAGTACCTCAGCACCATAAAGTGGCTGGTTCGGCTCTCCTTGCTTAATCAGTTGCTGTGAACATACTTGTAAATGCCTGTTTTCTTTGAGCCCTCTCCTAAATTATTTTAAAAAATCTGTGTACCTTCCACAACATTTTTTAAAATTCTTTTGACAGTTCAAGGAGAGATCCCTCACTAGCAGATGGCTGGGAAGCCAGTTTGGGTAATATCTTATTATTATTTAATGTTGCATGGATTAGAAATTAGGCATTTTAAAAGAACTTTATTTATTTTGGAGATGGATGGACGGACGGATGATAAAGTTTTTTAAAAATCCATATATGTAAATCTATTGGTCCCATCCTGTCCAGAGCAAAGGAGAATGAAGAAAATCAAAGACAAGGAAAATATTAGTCCAGAGAACTAATGGACCCCATGAACCACAGCCTCCACCAGACTGAATCCAGAAGGACTAGATGGCGCCCAGCTACCACCACCAACGGCTCTGACAGGGATCACAATCGAGGGTCCCAGAGAGAGTGGGAAAAAAAACGTAGACCAAAATTCAAATTCACAAAAAGACTTACTGGTCTGACGGTGACTGGAGGAACTCCAGAGACTATGGCCCCTGACACCCGGCTAACTCAGAACTGAAGCCACTCCTGAATTCCACCTTTCCGCCAAAGATTAGACAGGCCTATAAGACAAATAATAACACAGATAAGGAACGTACTTCTTAGTTCAATCAAGTATACGAGACCAAATGGGCAACACTTGCCGAAAAGCAAAGACAAGAAGGCAGGAAGGGACAGAAGCCTGGAAGAATGGACACGGGGAACCTGGGGTGTAAAGGGAAAGGGGAAGAGTGCTGACAGCGTTTGGGGATTGCAACCAATGTCACAAAACAATTTGTGTATAAATGTTTGAATGAGAAACTAATTTGTGCTGTAAACTTTTACCTAAAGCACAATAAAATTTTTTTTAAAAATGGTTAAAAAAAGAATCCATACATAGCATTTTCAAGTAGGATTCCCAATGAAACCACACTGGTTTCTTGGGGTAGTCTCCTCTTCCTATTTATGACTTCAATGACAGAATCACCTTTTGAGAGCTTAGTCACTTCAGGAAGCCCCTTCTCTTTTGGAGTCATCCTGGTTCTTTTGGAAGTTTTTGAAACCCACCTTCCTACAAGCAAGGGCTTACCCAGACTTATTCAGAGCCTTCCCCTCCTGGAATTATGACCTAGCTGCTTTCTTGGGGGTTCCACACATCTCTCCTGTGCCCTCACCCGGGTTCTTCTGGTGGGTTGGCATCAGATTAAGTGAGGAAGCAGTTCCTGTCACCCCTTCTCTCTAGAGAACAGAGCTATTTAGAAGCAAGTCATTAACTCAGATGTCTTGCTGTTTAGCCAAGTCAGGCACTCTTTCAAGGAGCCCTGGTGGCACAATGGTTAAGCACTCAGCTGCAAACCAAAAGGATGGCAGTTCGAACCCACACAACAGCTCTGCAGGAGGAAGACCTGGTAATCTGTTCCTGCAAAGATTATAGCCAAGAAAACCCTGTGGGGTAGTTCTACTCTGTCCCATGGGGTCACTATGAGTCAGAATCAACTCTATAGCAACCAACAACAGGCACTCATTCAGTGTGCAGAGAACTGAAGTCCCCTAGTTTTAGTATCCATTTTTTGTAATGGTATCCATTTTTGGTAATTCATTTTTTTCATCTGACCTGGCAGCTCTTACCCAAACGTTCTCCACATGTTTTTCCCCCTTGGGCTTTGGAGTCAGCCTTTTGGAGTTTTGCCATATAGCACTATTCTGCTTCGCTTCCTACAAGTCTACCTCATTTTGAGTAGGGGAGCCACACAGTGCCCATCACAGGCTTCCTTCCAGTCCTGGTCCCATCTCATTGTACTCTTCTGAGTTAAGGTCACCTTGTTTGTGCTCTGCCTATCAGCATGTTGATACCGGAGTCTGTAAATAAATGGCATCTTTCCTCCTCTTCCTTTCCCAGCCATCCCCTCTCACAACCCATTGCTATGCTTGCCACTCTGTCATGCCTGAGGTCTGCCCACCACAGCACCTTGCATTGTCACAGGGTCATCTGAGTATTCTCCTCCTGCCTCCACCACCATTCTCTTTAAACCTTCTTGATGAGGACATCTGGTTTCCAGGCAGACATCCTCCCCATCTTCATGAGGTGCATGCCTCACCTAGTCCAGGAGCCCACCCATCCTTCCAGTCTCTTCAGCCAAGGCCTGCCCTCCCCTCCTCACAGCCACTCCTCTCTGCAGAATTCCAGCCACCATTAACCAAAGCTATGAAAACATGACTGAGGTCCCCTAAGTGGCCTGTGTCGCACCTGTGACGGTACTGTTTAGATACCTCAGCATTAGAAGCAACCTGGGTGTAGAAATGCATTCTCTAGTTCATTCCCCTGATTTGACAGATGAGGAAACTGAGGCTCAGGGAGGTGAAGTGGCTTGTGCAGAGTTTGGTCAACTTCCCAGTGGTGTCAGATGGATCATAGTTCCAGTCCCTGCTCTACCTCTTGCCAGCCAAGTGGTCCAGACATCGTCTCCTGCTTCATCCCATCACCAGCCCTGAGGCCCTGGGCTCATTTGTAGCCTAGACGTGTCTCCTGCTCCTCTCCTTGTAGCCCCAAGCAAAAACAAGGCAGATAAGTTGGAGTTTGGCATCAATGGGAGAGGCATGCATGACGTTTTTGATGGGGCTGTATACATAGTAGTTCCAGATAACATGCCTGGGCTCTTTATCATCCCTGAGAATGATTGTTGAGGCTCGCAGCACTGCTGTCTAACCTGTTAAAACTAATTTTGGCCCTTCTCTGTGTCTTTTTGATCATTAACTCTTCTTAGCAGGGCAAATAATTCATAGTAGCTCATAATCCAAAATTATTTTCTATTTTCCTCCTCCTTATCCCCCCCTTCTTTCTCCTTCTCCTACTTTTTCTTCTTCTTTTTTATTATAGAAAATTTCAGACACAAAATAAAAAAGAATAGAATATTGAACCTGCACATACCCATCATCAGCTTCAACAGGGATCAACCGATGACCACGCTTTTCCCCTTTACACCGACTCGCTGTGCTCCCCAGTAAACTGGATTATTTTAAAGCAAATCCCAGACATTATATGATATCATTTCATCTGTAAACATTTCACTAGGTAGCTCTAAAAGACTCTCAGGACTTTTTTCTTAAACATAACCACAATACCATTATCACACCAAAAAAATAAAATAATTCCCTAATATCATTTCATTTCTTCCTTATTCATTGTTCAGCTTTCGCAAGCATATGAGGCGATTGAAAATACCATGGCTTGGGCCAGGCACAGCTTAGTCCTCAAAGTGACATCTTTGCTTTTTAACACTTTAATGAGGTCTTTTGTAGCAGATTTGCCCAACACAACACGTCTGATTTCTTGACTGCTCCTTCCATGGGCGTCGATTATCAATTCAAGTAAAATGAAATCCTGGGCAACTTCAGTATTTTCTCCATTTATCATCATGTTGCTTATTGGTTCAGTTATGAGGATTTTTGTTTTCTTTATGTTGAGATGTAATCTATACTGAAGGCTGTAGTCGTTGATCTTCATCAGTAAGTGCTTCAGGTCCTCTTCACTTCTGAATTGATGCATTTGAATTATGGTGTTGGAAAAGAATATTGAATATACCATGGGCTTGCAGAAGAATGAACAAATCTGTCTTGGAAGAAATACAGCCAGAATGCTCCTTAGAAGCAAGGATGGCGAGACTTCATCTCACATACTTTGGACACGTTATCAGGAGGGACTAGTCCCTAGAGAAGGACATCATGCTTGGTAAAGTAGAGGGTCAGTGAAAAATAAGAAGACCCTCAACGAGATGGATTGACACGGTAACAGCAACAGTGGGCTCAAACGTAGCAACACTTGTAAGGATGGCGCAGGACCGGGCAGTGTTTCATTCTGTTGTATATAGGGTCACTGTGAGTAGACAGCAACTCAGCGCACCTAGCAACGACAACAACCATCATCCCATTTCTAGTCAGGGTTCAGATTCTCTTGATTGTCTCGTAATTTTTTTTTAATAGTTGACTTGTTTCATTGAGGATTCACATAACGGCCATACTTGTGTTCGATTTGTCTCTTAAGTTTCTTTTCGTCTGTCAATTCCTCCCCTTTTTTGTTGCCTTTCAGTTTATTGTCATTGTTGGTGTTGAAGAAATCAGGTCTTCTTTAAAAAACAATATATGGAATTTATTATTTTATAGCACATTGATCTCGATTATTTTTTATTAGACCAATATAGAATCAAGTTTTAATTCCTTAACTATAGACCCAAAGGTGGTGGAAGGCAACGCCTAGGTATATTGAGTGCTAAACCAAAGATAAGCCATTGCTGTCAAGTCGATTCTGACTCATGGTAACCCTACATGTTACAGAGTAGATTGCTCCATAGGGTGTTCTTGGCTGTAAGCAGGTCACCAGGCCCTTCTTCCATGGCACCCTGGGTAGGTTCAAACAACCGACCTTTAGGTTAGTAGTTGAGAGCAAACTCTTGTGTCACCCCGGGACCAAACCACAGATACTTAGGAATGCATGCTGGCCAAAATAAACAGGGTGAAACATTGGTTCCAGCATCTTTGTCCAGGTCCCTCCTTGAACCCTGGGCCCCTGTGAGCCTTTCAGCGAGCAAGGCCTGTGGTGTTACTTAATCAAAATCTTGGGCAGTGCTGGAGCGTCTTTTTATGTCTTAAGTTCACGGCCAGCACCCTCCTCCCTTCCCTGCCTCTGCATTCCCTCTGATATGAAGGAGGTACTAACAAAAGCAAGAATTTCCCTGCAGTTCAGAGGTCAGCGAAAGGCAGAAATGAATGAGGGCAAGAGAAAGCTGTCGGCTCTATGCGGACAGGGCAGCATAGGTCCAAGGTCAAAAGAGGAACGGGGCCAGCAGAGGCAGCAAGCTGTGAGCCACTGACTGGGGAGCCTGTCCCTCAGGCCAAAGGGCAGGGGTCCACAGTCCTGCATAGCTAGGGCCCCACCTTGGTTATCTGGCCTGCCCCTTCTGTCCCTGCAGTGTTTGGGCAGGCCCCAGCACACTTACAGCCTGGCCTTTTCCCCCTTGAACGGGATGCTAGTCTTTACTTTGAGCTTTGGCCAGTGTTTTATGAGCCTGTCACAGGTCATTAAATCCACACACCATTTCACTTTAAACTTCCACTACTGCTTATATTTTAACCATGATTTCATGGGAAATATTTGCCATTTCAAAACTAAAGTGTGGCAGGTTTGGAGAAATTTCTTTTGCAAACTTCCTGGGCTTAAAAATAACTATGAACCACGCAGATCCCCTCTCTTGTCATCTGGAAGATGAAACCTACGGATTCTCTGTGGGGATGGTGACACCCAGATTAATTCCAAGGGTGGAATTAGGCCTTGAGATCAGAAATCTCCCAAATGAAGGTTTCTTTTTAATCACCTTGGGCTCAGTGGTCACCTGTGTTTGGGTTCATACCCAAGGTGAGAGAGCATTGAGTGGGGAAGGCTGAGAGGCAGTGTGGGGATTAGCTCACTGGTGTTTACTCCCCTGACACGTAGGCCCTGGAGGCATGTAGAGAAGGGTGGCAGTGCTGTCCCCTTACTCCGCACGGGATGGAGTCAAGAACACGGCACTGCAGTCAGGCAGGACTGGGCCCAGACCTCAGTTGTACCTTAATGTTTTGATGTGTCCCAGGGCCTGTCACTGGACCTGAGTCCTTGATTTCCTAATCTGGAGAATGGGGATGATATTACCTGCCTAGCATCATTGCTGGGAGGATTAGACCATGCCCCCACGTTAGGTAGGCCTAGCACCTGCCAACCAAAAGAAAGATTTTCTTGCAGAACATCAAATTTTATGATTTTCCTTTGCCTCTAAAACAGCAACAAAAGAAGTTTTTTTTTTTCTTTTAGGTTTTTCCCTGAACTGTACTTCTCCTCCCACCCTCCCCTTACACACTCCTATTATTAAGCCAGGAAAACATGCCTGCAGGGTAGGAAGCAGCACAGAGAAAGCGTTCAAATGACAGTTGAAGTAGACGCTGGTACTGACAGGTTCTGGAAGAGGGTGTCGGTGAGTGTCACCATCCAAGCTCCTGCCCCTAGGGAGTTTTCTCACTGAGGTCATGTTCACGGTGCTGTTATGGTTCCCCATAGGCTTCTCTACAGATGATAGTTTGAGTCCGCACACCAAAGCTCCGGGTTCCCACGTAGGCACTGGGGAAGCACCTTGCTCCAGCGACAAGAGCCTCACCTGGCCTGCACCAGCCACTGTCCTCAACACGACGCACTCTCGCTCACTCTGTTTGTGGTTCTTTTAGGGCCCAGGAAACCTTCATGCAGTGGGATCATTGCCGGAGGTTTTACAACTTCCTCATGGCTGACAACATGAAGAAAATCATCCTCTCGCACAGGTACCTTTACCTTCTGCTCTCCCTAGGGAGACAGACGACTTCTTTCTCAGCTTCTTTAAAAACTCCCACTCACGGTGACCCCATATGTATCCAAGTAGAACTGTGCTCCATGGGGTTTTCAATGACTGATTTTTTTAGAAGTAGATTGATTGCCAGGCCTTTCTTCCAAGGTGCTTCTAGGTGGACTCAAAACCTCTAGCCTTTCGGTTGGTTAGTCACCGAGCACATTAACTGTTTGTACCACCCAGAGTGTCCTGAGCTTCTTTAGGTGCCAATAGAAGCCAGAACCCTGTTTCTTCAGGTGGGGAAAAGACGGGTGGGGGTGGTGCGGACTCTTGGCTGACTGCGTTTGTTTCTTGCTTAGAAACAAACTTGTCTCAAGCTACCAGACTGTAGTTATTCAAAAGTCAGCACTACAAAGTCATCCTCTGGCACATTCTAAAGGCTAAAAAAACCCATTGCCGTCACATTGATTCCAACTCACGGCGACCCCATGTGTTACAGAGTACAAATGCTCCATAGAGTTTTCTTGGCTGTAATCTTTATGGAAGCAGATCCCCAGGACTTTCTTCCGTGGTGCTGCTGTGTGAGTTCAAACTGCCAACTTAGGTTAGTAGCCAATAGCAAACCACTTGCACCACTCAGGGACCTCTTCTAAAGCTAAAGGGGTTGAGTTCTAACTTACCCACATAAGCTTTGTCAAAGACTTTCTGTCCTGGCTTGCCTCTGGGCAAGGAAGCAGGTTCTGCTGTGGTTGTTCATTGTCTGTTTTCTATTTTCTGTTTGCTTGTGTGTCTCTTTCCAGGCAAGCACTTTTTGGAGATCGTGTTAAGAAACCCCGGTGCCTAGAGGACACAGACCTGAGCCGGCTCTACACAGCAACGTCCCTGATGCAGATCGATGACAACGTGATGAGGTGTGTCCAGGTGGGGCGGAGGGGGAGCACTCAGGGTGGGGCGCTCAGCCCGACAGGAGTGATTCATTCTGCACACATTAGTGTTAGTGATTCTTTAAATACCTTTCCAATGTATAAAAACAGAAGCTCTCACAGAAATATCCAAATTCTACTTTCTTTTTGAAAATAGTAAGAGGACTTGACCTTGATTCTATAGCTCTTCATAGCATAGGCAACTTGAGCCGAGGAGCTGCCAGTGTCTAGAAGGGGGTGACCCTGTCGATAATTACTATAGATAACACTTATTGGTTAGTAACTCTGGGCCAGTCACTGTGCTAGTAAGCACTCTGATGTCATAAACCTCACAGCACCATTAAGGAAGGTCTTATCCTAATCTCCATTCCACAGAGGAGAAGCTGAGGCTCAGAGAAGTTAAACCGTTTGCCTAAGATCACACAGACAATAAGTGGCAGAGCCAGGATCTGAACCCAGATACCAAAGCCGGCGCTCTTAACCACTACACTCTGCTGCCTCTGTATATTCTACTGGTTCAGAGCTGGAGCAGTAACAAAATCGGCTCAGCCTTCAGACCTTATGACAAGTGTTGTTTTTAACTTTTCCCCTTTTTTTCGGTATGTTCCAGGAAGTTTCATGGCTATAACTCCCTGAAGGAATATTATGAAGAAGAAAGCTGCATGAGGTACCTGCACAGGGTGAGTGGCCAGCACCATCCCGGGGGCAGCAGCATCTCAGAACTAGTGTTCCTCGCCAGCCTCACACACAGTACAGCACGCATCCCTCCTACACTTCCCACGTGGAAGCTCAGCCAGACTCTGGCTCAGACTGCTCTGGATATTGACCTGGGTTTGTTATTGAACCAAACTCTGTCCCTCTGTCACCTCCCTAAGTAAGCCCAGCACCGCCTCCTAGAGTGGTGCAGGGCAGTCTGCTCCTGTGTCCATGTGAAAGCCTTTCAAATTGCTGGAACATCCTATTTCTTCTTTTGTCAGTATAATGCTGCCCGGTTCCTGCCGTGGTTCCTCATGGGAGATCACTCTAGATTGCCTACCATCCCCGACCCTTTCTCTGGCCATGTGTATTTTGTTAGTGTGGTGCAAAGGACTAAACTCAAAATTCCTGCCATGATATGGCGAGCACAGAACAAAATGGGTGGGTTTCTGTATCAAAATGACGGGAGCATGTCTGTTGATAGGTTAGGCTGGTTTATATTAATGCCGTTTTAACAGCTGCAATAAACTTTGTATTCAATTCAGCTTGTGCCCAACCAAACAAAAAAAAACTCCACACATTTTTCACCGGAACCACCACCGAGCCAGTCTCCCTCATTCCGTCCCTGCACAATTGATCCTTTTACCCAGACACAGGACTTCTCATTTATCCCTGTTCATGTCCACGTATTGGTGTGGCCCACCATTCCCCCAGCTAAAGCAGGTAATTATGAATTGCAGTCCTGCCATCTGTCATCAGCCATCTCTCCTACCTCAGCATCATCACCCAGGCTTTTGGTATCTTCATTAAAACTATTACAGAAGCACTGAGCTATCTAGAGCCAATGTCAGAGGCCTCCAGGTTAACACAGACACTCATTACACTGCCTGGGCATAGTTGTTCAGCTACATGTGAGTCCACCCATCAGCACCACCTCCACTAAATCGACAAAAAGAGACTATTGGCTGTTTTGTGAAAGGGGGTGCTGAATGCAGCCTTGCCAAGAGCTTCCCAATATCCTCCGGCCTATTCTCAACCTTCAGATTCTTCTAGAAAGGCTTCTTTGTCTGGAGCAGAGCACACTCCATTTTTGCTCCCCACCATATAAACTGAATGAATGTGTACGTAATTCTTTGTAAAGTCATCTTTCTGAAAGGTATGGCTAATCTGAAACGCTAGGAAGATCATTAAAATATTTTGCCGGTGAGCTCCATTGAGTGCATCCGCTCTCTCCATCAGAGCACGTGGGTCACCTAGGACGCTGTGGAGCTTCGCTCCCGCGCGCTCCTGCCAGGGCTGTAATCCCAGCGGCAGTTATAATTCATTCCACTGGCAGTGAGTCCAAGGCGTCCTCAATCCACCTGTTCAGCAAGCTGAGCAGTGACCCTCTTCCCTTTGCTTCAAAGACATGTCCGGTAGTGAATTTGGACGTGAATCAATGGGGTCTGAAAAAGGGAATTGATAATTTAATTCTGCTTTATTTTCTCGCTGCAGATTTATGTGCCTCTCATGCTGGTTAATGCAGCTGATGACCCCTTGGTGCATGAAAGTCTTCTAGCCATTCCAAAATCTCTTTCAGGTAAAGTGTTTCTTCCTGCTGCTCCCCCAACCACTCAGCAAATTGCCACCGTAAATTCTGTCACCTTCACCATGCCGTCATCTCCTGCAGATCAGCTCTGGGGGGAAGGGCATCTCATGCAGTGTTGTTACTCAGCCTCACCTGATACTCCTGGGGCTCTGCTGGGGCCTGGGCAGAGGCCTTCTTACTTTCTGTCCTGTTGCAGGAGGCAGGCCTACCATGTGTATCCATAGCCAAGAGGGGTTTTTAGTAGTCACCTGGAGCTCTGTGACAGTATGGTCTCAGGGTTATGGTTCCATTAAGTCTGAGAGTTTGACTTAAACAGATATTTAAACTTAAAACTTGACCTGAAGAGCCAGTCCCGCTATCTCCTGTGGCAACCTCTCCATCTGCTTTGAGGATAAAAATAGAAGCAATGGAAACAGCAAAGAACATTGCGCATAGGAACTGTACTATGCTTCCAGGCGGCAGTCTCTTTCCACACTGGATGGAAGCAGAAGGAGAAATTAAAGGGAGGGTGGCAGAAGGAAACACTTGGGAATTTCAGAGTCACTTTGCCTTGTAATATCAGACCCTTAGGAAGGAGCCCTGGTGGCACACTGGCACTTGGCTGCTAACTGAAAGGTTGGCGGTTCCAACCTACTCCACAGCTCCACGGGAGAAAGACCTGGTGATCTGCCTCCATAAAGATTACAGCCAAGAAAACCCTATGGGGTAGCTCTACTCTGTCACATGGGGTTGCTATGAGTCGAAATCCACTCCGTAACACCTAACTACAACAGCAACAGGGCATAACCTCCCCGCCCTCCACAGTCCTTCTCTGTGATTAAGTTTCCTTTTGTAAATGTCATGTATTAACAAGAGGGATTCTGATTCTGATTCTCCCTGGACCCCAAACTAAAAGCATAGCTAATAGAGTGGACAGAGGGCCCCAAAAGCCAAAGCTCTGTTTCACTGCTCGGGGTGAAAGCTGTGTGTTTTGGAGGTCTTTGCGTGTCCTGTGATACAGACTACGTCCTGCCGATCCCTTATCACAAACCGTAGGCACACTGTCCCAAAGCAGCCCACTGGGCCACGTGTGCAGCCCTGAGAGAAAGCAGCAGCACTTGTTTCCTTCTGTGCTTCTAAGGTAGCAGCCATGGCTCTAACGCTGGCACCCAAAAAAACGTATAAAACAGTGACTGAAAAGGAAGAGTAAAGGGGGCCAGACAAGAAAAGAGCTCTTCAGTGCCAAGGAAAGGCCTCTGAGGCCTGGAGCACCCAGCAAGGGGACACTCTGTAGTTATTCCCGTGGGAAGACAGGTGCTTCCTGTTGTACCCGGCTGTACCTGGCTGCTCATTTTACGCACATCTTCAATAGCATCCTTCACTGGCACATGTAGGACCAACCCCAACATGGATTCCTAAAGTCAAGCCCCAGGTTACGAATTCTCAGGATAGCCATCTTAGCACTGCCATTGAAAGCTGTGGGCATCTTTTAATACATCTTGCAGCTTTGAGTTCAGTTTTAGTCTTGAAGAGCAATATCAATGAAAAAATCATCGATTCCATTGAATTCTTATTCTTGTCTAGTAAATAACAGTATAAATGCTATGAATCCCTGCTCAGAGTCTGGTCCCCCCACCAGTAGCGTTGGCATCACTGGGAAGCTTGTTAGAAAAGCAGACTCTCAGCTTCTCCCCAGGGCTGTTAAATCAGAATCTGCATTTCAGCAAGATTCCTCCAGTGATTCACACGCAAATTACCTGGGGAGCTTTAACAATACCAATGTGTGGGTTTCTCTTCTCCGCAACCCCCTCAGAGATCCTGATTTTGTTGATCTGGGGTGCAGCCTAGCCTAAAACTAGTTGCTGTGGAGTTTACTCTGACTTATTGTGACCCCATGTGTGTCAGAGTAGAACTGTGCTCCATGGAGTTTTCAGTGGCTGATTTTTCAGAAGTAGATCGCCAGACCTTTCTTCCCAGGCACCTCTGGGTAGACTGCAACCTCCAACCTTTCATTTAGCAGCCGAGTGTGTTAACCGTTTGCACCACCCGGGCACTCTGTGGCCTGGCATAGAACAAACCAAAAACCAAACCCTTTGCCTTGAAGTCTGACTCATAGTGACCCTATAGAACAGTGGAGAACTGCCTCATAGGGTTTCCAAGGAGCGGCTGGTGGATTTGAACTGCTGAGCTCTTAACCACTGCGCTACCAGTGGCCTGGCGTAGGGATCTATAAACTCCCCAGGTGACTCTAATGTGCAGCAAAATTTGAGAACCACTGGGCTAGAGTTCTAAGGAGTTAAGCTGGTACCCTTTCACTCCAATGCCAAACTGCTATTCCAAAAACAGATCCCACTGTTTTGCCTGCCCCATCAGATCTCCCTTCTACTTTGGCGAACAAGGTAGGTGAGTAGAGGTTGGATGCCTACTTAGGTGATGGGCACCTGTGGGGAAAGCCTAAACCACCCCCCCACCACACACACCCGAAGCCAGCTCACGTTAGCACCTCCCGCCCTGGAACTAGGAGTCCCTGGGTGGTGCAAATGCTTAACACACTCGCTGTCAACCGAAAGGTCAAGGGTTCAAGTCCACTCAGATGCCTTGGAAGAAAGGCCTGGGGATCTACTTCTGAAAACCTAAACGTTGAAAACCCTATGGAGCACAGTTCTACTCTGACATACATGGGGTCTCCATGTGTCGATTCTAATTCAACAGCAATTGGTGGGGTTTTCTTTCGTCTTGTGTTCCTTTGGCCCTGGAGCTAACTAGACCCCAGTAACTCACACAGCTGCCTTTCCTTTGCAGGGAAACGGGAGAACGTCATGTTTGTGCTGCCACTGCATGGGGGTCACCTGGGCTTCTTTGAGGGCTCCGTGCTATTCCCTGAGCCCCTGACGTGGATGGATAAGCTGGTGGTGGAGTATGCCAATGCCATTTGCCAGTGGGAGCGGAACAAGTCCCAGTGCTCCGACACAGAGCAGGTGGAGGCCGACCTGGAGTGAGGCCTCCAGACTCTAGTGTGCTCCAGCGGCCTCCTCTGAGACCCGCGCCCCACCCTCGCCAGCTGTGTCAGGTCCCCCATCTCCCTCAGTGACCTGGATCTGACCTCACACCATCAGCAGGGGCCGCCCACCAGGCACACCTATTCTTGGAGCAGGCAGCTCTTCCCAGGAGCTGCAGGCTCTTTTTGTGCTTAGGTTCCTGGTCTCCTCCATTGCATTTTTAGCCATGGTGACAGGCGACAGGGTTCTCACCTACCTGTCCAGTGTCAGCATTTGGTTGCTTTTCAACCAGTTAAGTCTAGTTTCCCCATTAAAAATGTGTCAGAACCATAGTTTTGCTTTGCCAATCAAAAGGCTTTTCCCCGAGAACAGTGTGGGGTGTACGTTAGTTTTGTGGTGGTTGTATGTGCCCTTACGTAGAACCTGAAAAGAGCTCACTGGCCTAGCCCAGCGCCGACGATGCAGCTCAGCATTGGAGATGCTGGCCTCCCAGGCCAGACTGTGACCTCTTAAATGGCAAAGGAAATTCCCTTGAGTCATAAGGCAAGTTTTCTCCCTCACTATCTTCTAAGACAGTTCCCCCACGCTTTCCTGGTGATGAGAGTTTCCTGGGGCACTTGTGAAAAATTCAGCCTCCCAGGTCCTTCCCTTTGGAGAGGCTGATTCCATGGGTCTAGGAAGGGGCCTGGGGATTTTAATTTTTGACCAGTGCCCCAGCTGATTCTCATCACCGGGCAAATTTGGGAAACACTGTTCTACGAGGCCTTTAAATTAGAAACATCTTGGTAGCTCATTTTATTGAATTGCATCATCAGAGGTGTCTCTTGGTTCCCAGAGGCCTCAAAAGCAGCGCGGCCTGCCACGTCACCACCCTTGTGTGATGACTATGTGATGTCTTGGGAAGAGCCGTGAGCTGGGAGTGAAGAGTGTGGGCTGTGGCCCTAGCTCTGCTTCTCACTGGCTGCATGATCCTGGAAAAGTCCCTCTGGACTTTAGTTTCCCCCTCTGTAAAATGGGGGCTGGGACCAGGTAGATTGCCGAGATCACTACTGGTTCTAAAGTTCAATGACAAACTCAGTTTGCTGCAGTTTGAGAGAGCATCCTTCCAGAGGAACGTGGAAACTCCCCCCGTCCAAGCGTGTAGCCTTGATGTCATCATTTGCCTTTCTTTTTTGTCCTTCATTCTATATAGAGGTTTTTCAGTTTGATTTTTTTCTTTTAAAAAAAACAGTGGTTTGTAATTTTTTTTTTTTTTTAACCCAGGTATCGCTAACTCTGGATTTGATACCAAACAACTCAAAAGTTGGATCTGAGTTTGGAGAAACAGATTTCCAACTGAAGAGGGTATTCTTTTAAATCCAGACTTTTAGTTTAATGTCCTGTATTTGTATACTGTTGGACAGATCTTTCCAAACTGTGTCTTCTCAAATCAAAATGTAACTCTAGGCTTCGAGTACGCCTCTCCTCCAATCCCGGGGTACTTGAATATCTCAAAACCCTGCACTTTGAAAAATCCGCAGTTGCTATCTGGAACTAAATGGAATTACAGGTGAAACTGCCTGGATACTTTTAAAAAGATTTTCCCTGCTTCAGCTCCTTTGGCTCCAGGACAGACAGGAATATAATAGTGGGTCTGTGTGGATGTTGAAGGGGTACAGGGAGCCACCTGAGCGCTTGAATGCAGAGCCTCATGGCTGCGGGTGGGTGTAGTTTGGACACTAGTCCAAGTGACTATGACGGTAATGTCTGTAACCTGAACATGTGTTTCTGACAATCACCAGATCATCCTGACTATTGACATCAGAAACAACCATTTTTTAAAAGGATTGAGGTTTCTGTGGTCTCAGCTTTGCTTTAGTATAATTTCTCACACTCCCCCAAATTCTGTCATTGTGACTTTTCCCCCAAGTTGTCATTTCTCCAGAGCATTTCCTTTTCATGTTATTTTAGCACAAATTGGCACTTTATCATCTACCCCTCGATTTGGAAGCTAGTCCCTCTCCTTTGTTACTTTTCCCTCCACCCAACTACAACTGTAATCTAGAAGATTCAGAGACATCTCCTCCTACTGCCTTCATGTCTCAAGACTCTTTGGGAGATTAGGTGAACCAAGCAATAACTTAATAGGGTTGAATCACCATCACAGGAAGCAAGAAAGTTCTTTCATTTCTTAGGCCCCATCTCTTGACCTATTCTGCCAAATTAGTGGCCCCGGTCCTGGCTCCATTCAGAGGAGAAAAGACAGTCCCGTGGTCACATTCACAGAGTACAGGGGTGGGGTGCCCAGGAGCCTTTGCTCTTCGGAAGACTGGCTTTTGGAGATCACAGTTCTCGTCTGCACAGCAGCTCTGGTGGCCTCCGTGGAGGCAAGGAGGGCTGGGGGCATAGCCTTTGTTGCCACACAAGGAGAGTTTTGCCCACAGGATCGTGGGGGCCGAGTCCCAGCTGAAATCTTTTTAGCATGTGACTCTGAATGGCACTCACATGGAATCAACTGAAGCCTTTTGTTCAAGCTTCAGGCCCTCAGCATGGAGATGAGAATGTGACTGTGGCTGTCTCACAGGAAAATTCTTGTTTGCTCCTAAAAGGGAGCACAGAGGCCTTGAATTCGCTGAGATGCAAGCTGGCCTAATAAACAGGGGAGCAGCATTTTATATGTAGGTCATCATTTTCCTTCCTCCAGGTTTCCTTGCTCTTCTTCCCTGACTCATTCAGTTCTGATGATAATATAAGTTCTCATCTTACTATTAAGATCCTATTTCGGCTAAAACAAGGCTGAATTTTCAAAGAGTGTTTACACTGCATTTTACGCAAATAAAGTGCACCTTTTTCATTTGTTTGCTAGTTCCCCCCCACCCCCACCCCCCGTATTTTTCTAAGCGCTATGCTTTTTTTTTTACAGCAACATGTGGAAGAGGATTGTCATGGCAGCGCTTGTGAGGGTTCCTGGGGAGTGGGGCACTGCTGGCAAGCAGACACATTTTATTTGTGTAAAAAATCTGGTAGATAATGTATTTTAAAATCTGATTAAGGATATAAATTGCATAGACAAAGACAATTCTGTTGCCTTGTTAGACCAAGAGGGAGAAAATGCCCACATTTTTCCTGTTGTACTTCTTTCCTCCTAAAAAAATATGGCGACACTGAAGAGAAAAATGATCCCAATCAAATTAGGATTATCTGAACCGAGAAATGGGGTCAAGTCTAGCTGATGCATTATGTTAGAAAGGAGCTTAACAGACTTGAAGAAAACCTCTTCTCTTCCCTGGTGTGCTTTACACCCGTGATTCCAGAGCAGAATGAAGGTAGAATGGTGTTTGTCATTATTATGTTCTTTTAACCTTTCTGCAGCATTTTACACTTAAGGGAACCCTATGACATACCATGCGAGTGGAAATACACCTGAAAGGGAGGTTTTACTTTCTTGGCATGATGTTATGGGACCAGGGCCCAGGAGACCTGGGTTCTTCTCCTATCTCTAATTCACATTCCTGGGCAAGTGAGTTCACCTCTCTGAGCCTGTTTCCTCATCTTAGACCATCTCCAAGATCCCACCCCTAAAACCACTCATCTATTTACACAACATTTGCCTGCACATTCCCACTTGGCTCGTCCACAGCCCTTGCAGGTGGAAAGCAGATATATCAAAGCTCAAGGCTTATCTTGCAGGGACTTGGAAAAAGAGAGCTTCTTCATTAAACCCTTCCTGGTGACCAGTAACCAGTTGCCATCAAGTTGATTCTAACTCATGGTGACACCATGCATGTCAGAGTAGAACTGTGCTCTGTAGGGTTTTCAATGGCCAATCTTTCAGAAGTAGATCACCAGGCCTTTCTTCTGAGGAATGTGTGGGTGGACTCTAACCTTTCGGTTAGCAACACAGCTTGTTAAGTATACACACCCCCAAGGACCCCTTTCCTGGTGAAGACCCTTGATATTATCTAAAGCCCTATGTCCTTGACTGACTTCAGCATCTTCATTACCATCTCAATATCTTTGTCCCGTTCCCAGGGTGGTCTTATGACTGGGGCAGGTGCTGCCTTTGGAATGAGGTGAATATTCCCATCCTTCAGTGCAGCTCAAGCAGAGCATTCAGAGTTCCCAGGGCAGAAATCCTTCCTGCTCAGGCTTTCATTCCAAAGCTGCAGTCTTCATTAAAGCTGAACTTTCTGGGTAGCTGAGCTTATATGCCAGGCGTCTGAATAATCACTTTCTTTGTAACTGTGTGACTCGAGCTCCATTCTGCCAGCTCCAGGAAACAATACGTGTGTTCTTGTTTGTGTTTTCCAGGCAAGCAGATGTCTGGGATGTGAGAGGCTTTTCTTTTCCTGTGGCATTGATTCTGACTTAGAGCTAAAGTAACGATCGCTGAAACCTGATGTTGAGTTAAAAGAACTTACAGGTTTTTGTCCTTTAGGCAAGACAGGGAGTTACTAAGAAGCACTTCACTGCAGCTTCCTGTCACAATATCATCTGGAATTGTTATCTTTGCCCAGAAAGCCTTAACTTGCCTCTAGAGAATCCCCTGGTATTACAACAATATTGGGGCATTAGAATTCAAACTCTTATGCTGTGCAAGGTTGAAGTAAAGCCACAGCAAAACCAGAGGATCTCCTCAAGTGGCCTGTGCACTCCTCCTCATGTTCTGCCCCCTCCCCTCAACAATACAAGTGATCCAGGGCCGGCCAACGCGCCTCATCTCTGACACCTTTCTGTCATCCTTTGCCTTGTTCTGTTGTTCAAAGCCTCTTTGGATTACTTGGATGCTTCAAAAAGCCATGAAAAGTGGCCTGCCTGAGGCATTTAGAAGCCAAGTAATTACAGGAAAGAAAAAAGCAGAGGGAGGTACCGGCCTCTTCATAAACTAGGATTGCTTTTGCCAAATTGTATTTGAAACTGAGGAAAGGGGAACTGACCCCTGCTGGCATAGACAACTGGGGTGCCTTCCAAAACAAAGCCGCTTCCTCTTGCCTGCGTTGCCACTGCTCCTGCCTCCAGATTTTGTGGCCCAGACATCCCCCTGAAGTAGCCCTTGGAAGCAGGCTGCAAAGTTTAACTGGGCCAGCCATTCCCAGAAAGGAGATGGCTGCCTCTTTTGGAAGAGTTAGCCCCTCCTGTTTTCTGAACTGTTATTCCTAGCATGTAGCTGGTGAGTTAAGTGTTCTTGTATCGCTAATGAATAAACTGAATGTCTAACCAGTAGATTAAGTCTAACACTCTTAAGTTCCATAAAATTCTCAGCTTTTAACTTGACTCCTGTCAATTAGTAATGAAATCTATAACCTACCTTCTCCTCATTTTGGTCCCCGTTAGCCAAGAAGTTGACTATTGCCATAAGTTGGGGACAGTCCACTTAGAGCACCTGCAGAAAGACCCTCATCTCAGTGGGCAGCCTCCTTCCAGACCACTCACACGGAGCAGCCAGCAGTCACCTAGAATTCTTGCTGACCCCTTTGGTCCCAACACGAGCTCTTTTGCTCCCGGGCTGTTCACGTAGGCGGACAGAGTTCCTGGGGGTAGGAGTTCGGTTCCGTCTGGTGTTTTGTTTGGGCGTCTTTAGTTTTCCTAAAGCACAAGTCCACGGAGAATCCTGTCACCTCTCCACACCGGTTCCAGATGACCTGCGTCTCTCCCCCTGCCTCAGGAAGACCTTCACTGTACCTGAGCTTTTGACTTCTGACACTGCAGCTGCCTTAGTCACGCCAGGGGTGGGGGTGGGGGTGGGGAGGTGCCAGTTCGCATTTCTCCTGATCCTGGTTAGACTCCCTTCAACTGCTTCCTGATTGATTTTTGGGAACCATCACTTTCACATTCCTATTCTCGTTTGGTTTGGTTTGGGTTTTCCGTAACTTAAGATGCTGCCCTGAAAATAATGTACTTTTGCGTTTGTGTTCCGAAAGCCTCCGTGCTGCCATATCTGAGGGAATACAGGACCCTCCAGCACTGAGACATTTTCAGATTTGCAACTAGCAATGCAATTTTTTCTAAATATGAGGATATTTACCTTTATTAAGAAGTTATACTAAACAACGGTGTCCTTGATTGTTGTATGTTTTCATATTTTGGTTCTATTTTGATTCTGTGTGGTGGTAAACAAAGATCATTACAAACAAAAACTGTAATTTTGTTATCTTTGATTCAGTGGAATTTCTTTACTTAAAAAAATAAAGACTAAAAATGTGGTGTGGCTGGGTCTTATTTGTACAGTGGGGGTTTTCTGTCTAAAGGGAGTATTTCCTGTATCTTCCCCAAAACATGAGTTTGAAGAAAAGGGCAAAACACCAAGTTCTCGTCACAATTGATTTTAACCCAGTCTTGCAAACAAATACCAAAAAAGTGACCAGCCACAAGTGTCACTGTCCAGGCCAGAAAGCCAAGAACTTGAAGTGAGATATTGACATTTGTAATCACTTTCTTTACTACTGAACCATGTAGACCAAACACCAGGTGAGATGTAAATGGTGTTTGCCATGCGTGATATGTGTGCTCTTCTAACCATGTTCTTTGACGTGACTGGTGGACATTACTTAAATCAAGGTCATACTGGGTTGGTTGGGTGGTGGTAGTGCTTTCTTCTCCTTTGTATCTGTCTGAATCTAAGCTAGGGGTCTGTTAGGGCCAAGCAGTTGGCCCAGCCAGGAGAGTTATTCCAGCCCATGCCCCCACCCCGCCCCAAGAGCTATGCACTCAGAGTTTTCTTCCCCCTTGGCCAGTTACGCTGGGTGGGGAGGGTGTCGCACTAGCATGACCTAGGAATGCTCAGTATCAAATGTTAAAATTCATCCATATCTGAGAAGCAAATTTACCGCCCCCCCCCATATCCCACAAAATAGACTATTTTGATCCAAGAAAAACAAAGAATACTACCCATGAAAACTACCATCTGGAAGAGATTTCAAGTTCAGGATGTTAGGTAGCTCAATACCAACAGCATGCCAACATGGTCATTTAGCGCCACCAGCACACAGCTGGGCCTCTGCTGAGCCAACCTGACAGCATTTGTGTTCAGTGACATTTGTTACTTCCTGTCCCAATGATGCTAACATTTTTATTATTATTATACATGTCACTAAATATTTAACAGTCCCCTCGGCTCTAGCCCTATATTTTCCCATGTGAGAAGCAAACACCTAATTGGGTGGCCCTCGATAGGACAGCCTCCCCTCTTCATTTCTCTTTTAAATGTCCTTAGAGGACGTTACTTGAATGTGCTAGCCATATATGAGAGGTTGGGAAGACATTAAAGTCAGTTTAACCTTGAACTACTGAAGTTGAACTTATCCCAAAGGGGATAAGTTGCTTAGCCTCTCTCCTTGTGGCTGTGTAGCCAGGCAGAACTGCTTTGTTATAAAGAACTTCCTTCTGATTCCTGCTATCTGCCCCACTTGGAATTACCCTGCATCCGTAATGAAGGCACTTTGGGTTCCTCTTAAAGTTATTTCCTCCTGTGTCTGATGATTGTTGGTGAAACTAACCTAGAATAAATGAAGTTCTAATTTTCATTGTTCCTCTTATCTCTCCTCCTCCTGCCTGCACCTTCCCTACCCCCCAAAAATAAATAAAGCAAGCATTTGAGACAAAGCATGAGATAATCACAAGAGCCAAAGAGATTTGGAATCAGAGGAGCTGGGTTAGAGTCCCATCTTGGCCACTTCCTAGCTCTGACCCTGATATTTTCTTTTTTCTGGTAAGATAGGAATAATTATAATAAGAAGGCCTTCCTCAGGATATTGAGAGGATCAAATAGGAATTTTTTTAAGTACTAATATTTGGGATTGGAGCCCTGGCGGCTTAGTGTTAAGAGCTCAGTTGCTAACCAAAAGGTGGGCAGTTCCAATCCACCAGCTGCTCTGTGGAAACCTTAGAGGGCAGTTTGACTCTGTCCAATAGGGTCACTATGAGTCAATATCGACTCAACAGCAACAGGGTTTTTTTTTTTTTTTTTTTTTTTTTTTTTTTTGGTACTATTTGGGACAGTGTCTTGGCTTGGTCTATTTGTTCATATTTATAAATCACGTCCTGGGAAACTGTAGAAACCAGAAGGAAAAATGTCCGCCGTGGCCTAGCTCTACAGTGGGGCCTCGAATTTACAGGCCTGTGGGGAAAGCAGAGATGGGTCGGGATATAATTTCCGAAAACATTCTTGGGCTTGGAAGTGCTGACAAGCCACTTATGTGCATTATCAAACTCTGATTCCAATCTTTTCCTTCTCAATATGGTCACCTTGGGAAACTAAGGTACCCACCTACACATTTCCTACCTACAGGTAGAGTGACTTCTTCTAGGGCACAGCCCCAGGAAGGAAATGGCTCTTATCTGGGACAGAGAGCCCAGGGCTGGCTGCTGCCTTCCCACATGGGCTCTTCCTCCCAGGGCTCCCGCACCCCTGCTTCTCTGTCCTCTCTGCCCAAAATTTTTCCTTTTAAACCTAGACATCAAAACTTGGAGTGGGTTCCTCCATATCCTCACCTCTTCCATATGTTAACACACAGGGTTTAGAGCAGGCTTCTCCACCCTGGCTGCACATTTGAGCCACCTGGGGAGCTGGGAAAGATCTTGATGCTCAGGCTGCACCTGAGACCAAGTACATCAGCATCTCTGGGGGTGGAGCCCAGACCTCAGGGGATTCCAGGCTGCAAACCACCGCTTTAGAAGCGTTGATTGACTCTTTAACGTGCCATCCTCTGGGGGTCTTGTTACAACGCAGATTCTGATTAAGCAGGTCTGAGGTGGGACCTAAGATTCTGCTATTCTAACTAGCTCCCAAGTGGTGCAGATGGTCCTGGACCACACTTTGAGGCTCCAGGGGATCCTGGGAGCTTCTAGACGAAGCACTGCTGAGTTGCCGCAACACCAGAGCCATGCCAGCCACAGGAAGTAGGGTAAGACATATCCAATTCACCCCTCAGGAGAGGACTCTTCACCTCTTTTCCTGGCTGCCTGAGTTCATCACTGAAGACCCAGGCATCCCTCTTCTGAGAAGCCTTTGCCAGGTCTCCCAGGCAACATTAGTCTCCCCTGGCTTCCCTTAGGTAAACTCGTGGCTTCAAGCACTGGCTAACCTCATTCAGAAGCTCTCTGAAGCTGGCTACTGAGATGTCCACCCGCACCTTAACGAATTGCCGTTGTCCACTGACTGACTGTGTTTCCCCAAAGCCTACATAAGGATGGCAGAACCTAATCAGCAGGCCTTCCAACTCTCACTCTGTTCCTACTGCTTTTACACAGCAGGATCCCTGCCTGATCCCACATGTCTCCACAAAGGAAGCTGTTACGGTTACCAAATGATTGTTATAAAATTCATGTTGTATTGCCCTCCTTCTCCTATCTGGTGGCTTTCAAATGAGTATTTTATTGTCCCTCTTCCTCTATTTCACTAATGTGGGGGTGGTGGCCACTTGTAGGAATCCAAGCACGTAGGCATCTGGGATATTGTGAGGCTGAGCACATCAGATTTTAACATTCATGGCCTTCAGATACATTCTCTCAAAGGCAGCACCACCTTCTTGGGCTGAGTCTGGCCCACTTGGCCCACCTGTCTGTCCTTCCTTCCCGTCCAGCTTGTCCTTGTGCATGGAGCGGCAGCACCAGGGCAAGGCCAGCAGGGGGCGGTGCGAGCCCACAGTCAGAGAAGAAGGCACTAGGTCTCAACTCCATGGCTTCTTCCTCAGAAAGCCCTGGGTTTATCAGACACCCAGCACACACTTCCCAAGCTAAGGCCCCAGCCCTGCTGACTTCAGGGGGAACCCCAGCATTCATTTGGGTTTGAGTCAGAGCCAACACTGTCCCAAGAGCGCCGGTCAGCATCTGCCTGCAGTTTTCTCCACATCCCAATTTCATGTATAAATTAGAGCCTCCACAAGTCAGATGAGCCTGAGCTGTGTCCAGCAATTGGGGGGGGGGCAGGGCAAAGGAAAGATAGGGGTTAATTGACAGGGAGCAGCCACTGTTTCCCTCAAATTTGCTACACAACTCTTTTGAAAACAATTATATCTTGAAAGTTTTAAAAAAAAGCTCGTAGTTTCCTGTAATTCCTCCTCTAGCTCAGAAGTCCTATGGAAATACTGTTTATGATCATAGATTGTTGACTGTGAATGTTATAAAGAAGGAAGTTACTTGGGGACTGACTCAATGGCAGCCAACAACAGCAACTATATATGATTGTTGTCACGTGCTGTCAAGTTGATTTCGACTTGTAGCAACCCCATCTAACAGTGTAGAACTTCCCCCTAGGGTTTTCTAGGCTGTAATATTTACAGGAGCAGACCATCAGGTCTTTCCCCTGCAGAGCTGCTGGGTGGGTTTGAACAACCAAACTTTCGCTTAGCAGCCAAGCACCAGGGAACTCTAGATAGATGATAGATAGATAGATGGATGGATGGATAGAGAGATTGATAGATAGAAAACACAAACCCATTGCCACTGAGTCAATTCAGACTCATAGTGACTCTATAGGACAGGGTAGAACTGCCCCATAGGGTTTTCAAGGCTGTAATCTTTATAAGAGCAGACTGCTACATCTTTCTCCCATGGAATGGCTGGTGGGTTTGAACCACCGACCTTTCAGTTAGCAGCTGAGCACTTAACCACTGTGCCAACAGGGCCCCTTAGATAGATATAGATATATACATATATATCTATATATTCACATATTCATATCCATGGTGGAAAAGAGAAAAGAGAACTCTCAATGGATCAGAGAAATTCCTGGAATGAAAGCAGATGAATTAAGCCTATGGCCCAGGAAACAGCAGGTGGGTGGAAACCAAAAGGTGGGTGCAGCATTAAGGGTGTTTCATGCCTACAAGGAGGGGATGACTCCCACCAGGGAAGAGCAGACAAGTCTTCGCTAGGGGCACCTCAATGGGAGCAGCCAGGTCATTGACCTTCACCCACCATCACTAGCCAGATAACAGGAATGGGTGTTGGCCTCCAGGTGGAGAAGCAAGTGTAGGATATTGGGAGAACTGTTGTCAATGCCAGGGAGCCCCATGCCTAGAAAAAGCCAGCCCTTTCCAAGTGGGAACAGAGGGCTCAGCAAACAAGCGTCTAACAGGGAGTTTCACCTACAATGATGAGCACACACTCAAAAATCACGAAACACTTGAGGAAAGCCAACTCCATAGAAGGAGGCTATTGGTATTAGTCAAAATATGCAGAGTGAAAAAGTGTAAGTTCATCATGTGAAGTGCCTGAGACTGAAGACAAGGAAGAGCTTTAACTGGGAAGCATAACTTGAGGACTGCAAGACTGCTCAGAGAAGGTATTCTCTATAAATCTAAGTAAAACCATCTGCTGAGGCAAGGAGAGAGCTTTGGGTGGAGAGACCTACAGACAGATAGAGGAGAATTT